TTTACCACTTGATTGCCTCAATGGTTAGAGTTAGAGCTCACAGAAGGGGATTCCAAATTGCAAGTGGTGGTGAGAAGAAATCCTGCAAAGGGAGATGGTGAATTGAGGCACCTTCTCACGAGTCAACTGGAGGTTGGACTCGGGGTAACTACACATGTTCATTTGCCGATTGAATCAATTTGGTATCAGGACTGTATTGATTCGAGTGTGTAGTTTGGTACCATATTATTTGGTAGTTGAAGGCAAATGGTTGCTAAAAGAAATTTTCGCCAAGGTGGAGATTTGTTAGGAAATTGGCTTAAATTCTTTTAGGTAGATTTCTTATTTTGTGTGGAAGTAACTAGTTTCCTAATTGGTTTTAGTTACTTGAAGTAGTAGCCAAGAAATTCTATTTAGTTTAGGAAATAGTATTGATTTCCAATTGTTATTTCGTTTTTTGGCAGTAATGTTCCCTATAAATAGATGGGTTGGCATACCACACAAGGAAACACGAGGACGCACAAGGGACACAAGGGGCATCATGTAACCTTATACATGAGGTGTGAGAGAGGGTTCTTGGGAGATGAGAGATGGTATACAAGGGTTGGGCTTGGGTTCAAGTTGTATTCTTGTATAGGGTTTTTCTCTCATAATAAAGAACATGTTTCTTTCCGTGGATGTAGGCTCAATGGTGGAGCCGAACCACGTTAAATATTGTGTGTCGTTTATCTTTCATGCTTGTGACTTGTTTCCTCATTAAATTGTTGTGCACTTGATGTCTCAATAGTTGTTTATTCCGCGCCTGGATCCTAACACATAATTGCCAAAGAATTTGCTGTGAAAAATGAAGTTGAAATCCTTTGAAGTAAATTTTAACAATTTTGAGATGGTGAATACGGTTCTCAACGAAAATATAATAATCATCGGGATCAGGTCTAATTTCCAAAGAAAGAAAAAAATCATACGCAACCGCCTTTGGCAGGTTTCAATTATTGCCGTACATCTTTTCCCAAGTCAAGGCTGCTGCTTCGTCAAGTTAGCACTTAGCACCGCAGGGAAACCAGGCTGCCCATATCTGGAATGGAATATAAGGCTTATACGCCACAACGGGCAATGTCACCTCAGATTAGCCATAACGGGTATTGCTCATCTAGCAGGCTGTCTTTTCCTTCCGGATGGAGGGGCCCATGCCAACAATTGTAGAGTGCAATTCATATCAATTAAAAGTTTTCTTTGAAACTAAAATAGTTGTGATTAATCTAAAATACCAATTTCCATAAACAAATAAACGGCTAATATTATTGTTGTTAGACATTTTGTGTTGTCTTAGAGTTGAAATTTTGATGTATTATTATCACCGTAGATTATCCCATGTTCCAGAAGAGAAATTATATCAAGTGCAGCAATTCCAAATGGTGAATGGATAGGATATTTCGAACAAGGCAAATTTTAAAAAGAGTAAGTTCAAAACACTTGATGTAATTAATTTTGATGTAACTGATATGCACAGTCTCACGTGAACAATAATTAAATATGAAATTCCAACCACAAAATTGTATTAATAATTTGCGATGAACTACAATTTATGTCTCTTTTTGCAGCAATTACAGCAGCACCTCATCCATCGACCTGTCCCCTCCGCGAAGGAGTGGAACGCAGCCTTTCTCTTGTTGATAGATTTACTTTTCCTTTTTGGGACTTGGTCACTGCCCAGCAGGCTTCTCGTCAAGGAACATAGAACTAAGCATATTTCACTGGTCTTATCTCTTGGTATTTGCTTTTCTTTACTACTCATCTCGTCGTTGAATTCGCTAATGCATGATCGATCTTTGGTGCAAACTGCCAAATTCCGTAATGGACACATAGTCAAATTTGTTTATCCGTCCATCCAGACCTCCACAATGTTGCAAGGTTTTGTCAAAAGATTCCTTCAAGGAGAATGGCTGGGAGTGGGAAAGCATCAAACTTTCCTGATCTGGGTACATCTTTATTCGATTACTTTTGGGTTCGATCCCTCTGGCTGTGGGTCATAGGTTCTTTTAGTTCGGGCCAGCCGGACAACCATACACGATGAAGATATCTCCAGAAGAGAAAGATGAAGATGATGATGCTACTTTTAGACTTCTTTGGAACTTTTAACAACATAATATGGGAGTGGAAGCCCCCATTCTCTAACATGGAGATGGCATATCTTCCAACCCAGTGCCCTTTTCTTTTGCGTGTGCTTCCTTTGCATCTTTAATTTCTAATAGTTATTGTTTGCAATGGCCAATGAGACGCGTTGGAGTACTGTCATCTTTTGCACCCCTTGTAACTTGATCAACGAGATAAATCAACCATATTAAACTCCCGTGGTGCCACAGTTGCATCAGTACATTAAACATCATCATCATCTGGAGACGGATCGATCACCTTAATTGTGTATTCATCTCCTATTGGATCTATGTTACGTAATCTCCATTAGCTCCAAATCTCAGATTCCAACCTGGAAAACTATAAACTAACTGGATTTGGATGAGTGAGTGATGGGGTTTCTTTCCTCCAGCTTGTCATGCCACTAGAACAATTCAGTTGGCCACATCACTTGACAGAATGATGAGCTGGGGTGTGGGAAGGAACCCGTATAATTCTAATTCTGTCGACCTCGCCTTCGGGAATCACTTGAATTGCGATTTTCTTTCTTTTGGTCGTTTATTTGCCTTTAACCCAAGCACTATAATCCTTCAAAACCTCGCGTGAAGGATAACATCGGATCTTGCATTAATCAGCTAAGTACGCATCAAGAGGAGTCGCTACTAGCTTAACTTCACTCAGTTCTCAAGCAACTCAAAGATGCATCTTCGTCTTCTTTGGCTTAAAACTTCATGATATATATACACACACACACACACACAACCACATAACCTTTAAGTATAACTGTTAACTTTAAAAGTCTAAACCCTCCTATGGTCAAGTGGCCCATTTCTAAAGAGAAGAAACAAAAAATGCTTAGACTAACAAATTCTGTTCATAACAGCAACAATTACGATTAAAAAGTACCATCTACAGCCACAACATTTTCCCAATTTGAGGTTAACAGTACATCTGTCAAATAACGCAGAGATCAAATGGTTTATCTTCAGCATAACAAACAGCAAAAAGAAATTCCATTTGGTTGTCCAATCCATAGGCAGGCCATAGATATTAACTAGGAAAAGCTCATTAAGGGATGTCGAACACTGGCAGTCAAATCCCACGCATCGAACTCTGTGATTTTAAATGATCATCTTTGCTGCACGTTCAAAAATAGAAAAGAAAATAAGAACTTGCAAAGTTCCAGCTTGTCAGTCTCAAAAAAGTGATAGGTTCCAAGCGTGGAACACATAATTATTAATATATCAAGTACATAATAATTTATTGACAAACAAACTACAAGTATAAAAGATAAATCATGCATAATATTTAACGTAATTCGGCTCTATCATTGAGTCCATGTCTATGGAAAAAAAACTCGTTTTTTATTACCAGAGAAAAACCTTATAAAAGAATACAATTTGAACTCAAACCCAACCCTTATATATCATCTCTCAAGAACCCTCTCCATCCTTATGTATAAGGTTTCTCTCCATAGACGTCGACTAATGCCTCCTAAACATACATTACTTCACCTAATTTCATGGGCTTCTACTCGACATTTCTGAAAAACCAACTTCTAGAAGTGAATGGACGTCGTGGTTGCCATTACTTAGCATCAGCAACCAAGTGGCACTTCTTTGTGGATTTCTGCGATTAGTAGTGTTTCTTGCTTTGGTTTTTGTAGTTGAGGCTTCGGGCAAACTGCCTCATCATTTTATATGCAGACCGCCAAAAAAAATGTTACTTATCTCCAATTTGTGCACAAAAAATTGTAATGGAATTAGATCACTTGTAGTTGTATTTTTTTAGAAGAAAAGAAAGTAATGGAATTATATCCAACCGCCAAAAAAATGTAATGGAATTATATCAGGTGTATTTGTATTTTTTTAATAAGAAAAGAAAGTAATTTATAAAATGATAAGCAGCTTAACAAAAATAATTTTATTTGTCGTTTTATATGCGAACCCCCAAAAGAAAATATTTAAGTTACTTATCTCCAATTCGCACACACGGAAAAGTAATAGAATTATATCACTTGTATTTGTATTTTTTATAAGAAAAGATTTATAAAATGATAAGCAGCTCAACAAAAGTAATTTTATTTTGTATTATACTATTAGTCAAAACTTTACTCAAAGAAGAAAAAGGCTATTATAACAAATTGTAAAAGTATGATTACTTTCAATATTTTCATCACAACACTTTAATTGGTAAGACGTTTCGCTTGTAACTTTCATCAAGAAGGAATTCCCTTGTGGAACTATTATGGGCATGCAGCCAAGAAGGCACTGTGAACTTGAAGCTCGGGGCAGGATTCAACAAACGGTGGTTGAGAAGGGAAATTTGGTAGAAAAAAGAATCATGTCCCTGTCAATTATCTTCGAATTTGAACTTGAAAATATATATATATATATATATATATATGGGTAAAGCCAAATTAAAACTGTTAAATATCAAGCCTTTCATTCTCTAACATTTTATTGCTTTTTTTGGTCCCAATCTATAAATTTGTGCGTTACGAAAGGAAAAGGAGTTGTTGATGTTGCAACCTTTTTGAGTGATTTCATATATGTTTATGTACGAACATAAATGAAATCAAACTATCATTCCTCGCTACACAAAGCAAACCTCTCAATGTTTCATCTGAATGTTAATGTGGTTCACTGATCTTCAGTCCACTCACATGCAAAGAGAAACTTACAGAGATAGATGAGAAGCTAAATTGTCACGTATCAGATATTGCGTACGTACTATGGTTACATTTGGGAACATGTGGAATAATGCCATTATCAGATTCACATTCGGTGCATGGCCTTATGTATTTTCGTTACTGATTACTGAATAGCTAGCGACCATATGGCTTCCATTTTGCCTTTTACTTCAGCCTCAAAATGCTTTTTCGCTGCCAGCCAGGGCTTCCCAGTCGTCTGCAGCATCCACCTTATTAATTTGATCTCTTGACAAGAAATAAAAGCATTATTGCTTCTGCCGTACAACTGAAATCTCCAACATAGGATGGAAAAACACGAAAATGCCAACAAATTAAGAACACTCCTCTACAACATTGAACAGAATTAAGGACCTGCAAAACCGCATGCTACTGTTGCGTACTAATACTTGCACAATATATAGTCCATCATGGAAACAATCAACACTTGAGCTATCAAGCAGCTAAGTACGTACCAATAAGCAGTACATCTCAATGATCTATAAATGTGTAGAAATCAATGAATGAATCCTGTATCCGCTTTCAACTTAAGTGATCAGTCAGTATTAGCTAGAAGCAATAAAAGGTCTCAGGAAAGGGAGTGACGAAAATGGCATCGGTGACCATAGGGGCAGATATCCCCAGCAAGAACCATCCGGCAAACCTCAGTCTTGTAACGAGGGTGCCTTATCACCGGACGCAGCTCCATGATCCCATGTGCGAATCGACAGTTTCCAGCAAAAGGGCAACTTCCGGTCTCCTGCCACTTGTTACACAGCTCCGTCTTGGACATCCCTTGGTTGTACACCTCGAACTGCGACGCCTCTTCCTCTCTCCCTCCCCCTGCTACGTACACCCTTTGCCTAGCCTTCTCCTATTGCAAATTAATTACTAATTTATAACCAAAGAGTGATATAATACAGAGTTTTTACTCTCTTATTGTTCCACCGTCTCTTGAGTTCCAAGTCAATGTGTCTCAATTCTTACTAATTAAACAAGTACTTGATCTACGTACTATTAAACACGCACAAAAGTGTGGCGCGCATAAATTCTTAAAAGTAATTAATAAGCCTCCACTGAGTAATGCACATACCTGAAACTTAGATAGTTCCTATAGACTTCTATTATACGGTAATTAATTATCGCCATAAAAAAAGTATTCTCATATAAAGGGGGAAATTTTTAAAAAAGACTCCGGAAAACCTGGCATTTTAAGCTAGTCAGAACAGGACGTAATAAAACAACGACAATCGAATACGTAAAATAATCTTTTTTTATAAAGAAATGTTCTAACCGAATCTGGTAAGGGCGGAGAGTTAACTCGGTTTGGACTCGAGGCCTGAGTCGTCGGAGCTTCATATTTTCCAGCAGATTTGGGTTTAAACTTGAGATAGCCGGCGGAGCGAATGGAAATGCTCTTAGGGAGGGAGACTCGTTCGGCGAGGTGCCGTCGTTGGAAGCGGTTTTGTTGGATGACATCGGGACCCGGAGCGGGTGAGGCCTCGCGAGAGTATAAGCGCGGCGAGGGAGTATCGTTTCCACTGATTCTGAGGCGGTTGAAGTCGGAGAGGAGGCAGTTGTGGATGGTGGCTCGGGAGAGGAGACTGAGGCGGTGAACTAAGTCGGCATTTGCGAGGCGGAGAGATTCGTTGTCTTGACCGAGAGCCTGCACTTCTTTGATGGATTCGCGGAGGTTGGCGAGGCAAAATGCATAGCGGTTGTAGAGCTGCTGGTACTCGAGGATGAGGCTGGAGTCAGAATGGCAGCGATCGGGGGTGACTACTTCGTCTGTCATGGTATCGTAGGAGGGAGGAAGAGCTCGAAAATTGAGAGATAAGTGCGGAGTACCGGTTTAACGGTGATGTGGTGGCGATGTCGGAGGAGGGCGTATATTTGCTTGGCGGCGGTGGTGGCCAAGGTTCCGGTGAGGAGGATATGCTAATCTTTCACGAGTAGAGTAGCGTTGGGATTGGGTATGGGATGTACGGGAAAACACTATACAGCGTGAAGGAACAAGGAAGTAGTAATATGATCTGGGGTTGGTTATGAAGGAGCGAGAGGATGCAGCAATCACATCCATGGGTTTGGAAACTCCGGATTCATTTCATATGGTTGGTGAAATTCTCTGGACATTGCTTGGGTGGGAAGAATTTAAACCAAACAAAAAAACAAAAGTGAGGGAAGTGGTAGTTTGGCGGGCGGGGAATTTAGGAGAACGACGAAGAGGGGACCGGTTGCTCGCTCGCTGAGGTGGGTCCCCGACCGTTAAGGCCCCCTGATCCTCGTCCCTACTTCCTTCCCAATTCCCAAGTCCTAACCATTTTTCTCACTGAAAATGAATAAAGAAGTTTCTCTTCCTATCTACTGAGTTAACTTTCTTCTTTTTCTTTTTTTTTTTGTCGACACATGAGTGTTCGGATGAATTCTTACAGGATCTGATTAATTTCCTGCGGCTCGGGTTCGGCGGCCCAACCCGACACAAGCACGATAAGTGCGCGGAGAAATTCAGCTGAGCAGAGACTCGATCTTGAGACCAAGTGATCACCAGGGGGAGGGGCTACTGTTGGACCATTCACACGGAGTTATCTACTGAGTTAACACTTAGTGCTTTTAGCCTCTTCTGACCATTTTTTTTTTCCAAAAAAAAAAATCTTTCAAAAGAAAAAAAAATTAAGTGGATTTGGATTATTTGATACAGTGTAATATTTGTCTGGAAACAGGCAATTAAGTGGATTACATCAGAATTCCGATTATGTGTTATGTGCATGAATAATTGTTCGATATAGATTGCTTAAGATGAAAGAATGAGAAGGTGGAGGAGGAGGAGGAGGAGGGTGGTGTGATATGCAAGAATCCACTACTATGTATAATGTATGTCTGTGAAGTGGAATCATGATGATGAGTTGGATTAAGAATAACTTAACTAATGGTTTCATGGGAAATAAGTAATTAATAAAGTCTCTCTAATCATTTCAGCAGAGAGCCGTTGCTTCCTTACCACATCTTTAACTAACTCACTCCCTCACTCGAGGCTAGGGCTGCAAACGAGTCGAGCCGAGTCGAGGTTTGAGCTAATCGAGCCGAGCCTTAGCTAAATTTTATCAAGCTCGAGCTCGAGCTCGAGCTCGACGAGCTGGCAATTTTCGAGCTCGAGCTCGACTCGAATCAAGTCGAGCCGAGCTCGAGCTCGAAAAAAATAAAAAAAAATTATTTTATTTTTTAAAAAAATAAATAAAATAATATTTTTTCTGAATAAATAATAAAATATTAAGGATATATCCGTAATTTCACTATGAAAATAAAAAATAAAAAATATATATATATAATATACGTAATTTTATTATTAAATAAAAATAAAAATAAAAAAAAATATATATATATATTCAAGCTCGCGAGCCGGCTCGCGAGCTAACGAGCTTAATATTTTGAGCTCGAGTTCGAGCTCGAGTTTGACTCGAGCTGGCTCGAGCTCGACTCGAGCTCGATTAATGTCGAGCTCGACTCGAGCTTGACTCGAGCCGCTCGCGAGCTCGATTCGTTTGCAGCCCTACTCGAGGCTAGCCGTGCAGCCTTGTTCCACTGTTCACAATTTCATCCCACGGATTTAATATTGATCCTAATTAAGGGGCATCAGGCAACCAGTTTTGAAAACTGAATCGATGGGAGTCCTGTACACCAGCCTACTACCTACCTTATCAATCATTCTGATGCGTCCTAACTAACAAAAGGTTATTTCGATGCTAATCATGACTAACTAACAAGATTCTTGCTGTGTGTGGAGATCGTAATTTCCAAAGTTTGATGGCGAGATCAAATCCCCTCTGATAAACATTTAGATTCTTCTATCACTTTACAACTGTATGTAATTAATTGGCACTCTTTATGATTTTGATTGCAGTCAGGCAAATTAAGGAACATCACATCCTACAGCCACTATATGAGAATGCCCGCTGCCGGCAAATGCATTTGATCCATCATTGGATGCATGCATGGCGTAATTAATTAAGCCAAGCATCCTTTTAATCAACTTCTTCATGGTGAGCATCCTTGGAAGTTCTCTACTACTGATCGATCGATGATGGTTTATTAAAATTTCACCGCTTGGTTACTACTTTATTCGATCATTTGTTAATTATTATGATATAGAAATTAGCATCGAGTTGGCGGCGCGGGGGTTTAGAAGCTGCAGACCGACACTGGGGAGAGAATCTGCATGTACAGGACGAGACCTCAGTGGAGTGGAGGAAGGTGACTGAACACTATTCTCCGACGTGGGCTGCATCAGTCTGCTGCGCTTTGTCAGTCCTACACGTGGCTATGTTGATGGTCTAGCCCAATAAAATCCAAGAACGGCCCAATCAAAATTTTGGTCAAGACTGACAAGATTATATAGACTCTACCGAACAAATTTTTGGGCACAAATTTTAATGAGAGGGAAAATTTTTAGTATTATTTCACCTTATTTTGTGAATGTTTACATCTACTATTATATTAGTGTCTGCATCTATTGTACCTGTGTCCACAAAAAAACACTATAATATAATATGTCATCACGACTAATAACAGCACATCTTATGACAATTTGTTTAGCGAAAGGTCAAAATACTTAAAAGATATGTAGAGCTCAACAGCTAGGTTTGCGACTATACCATTTTCAGCTTATGCATGATTTAGGGTAAAACTATTTCTATGCCACTCTGTGCCTTGATTATTAATAGGAGGGCTATCGTTCCGCACCACCCTTAAAGATGTACATTTAACTTTTTTTGAAGCTAAGCAAGTCAAATTTTCTTTATTAGGCGGTCTTGCCCCCATAAATTAAAGAATAAATTTGTTTAATTGTTTTTTAATAGGTTGGACATTAAAAACAGTTGATAACCAAGCTTGACTCGATTGGTTAGGCAGCTTTAGCTGTCGCATAAACATTTAAACTGAAATAATTAGGAGTACATAAATAACAATAACCAAAGAAAGTGCTAGTTTTCAATAGGGCTGAACATACTCGAAAATAAGAAAGAGTTGAGGAAGTATAGGAGCATCCTGAAGTTGTCAGGAGTTTGAACCTTACCTGCAGTGAAAAAATTTCAAAAGAGGTGCCAGAAACACCTCTTTGATCTAGTAGATTTTTATACTTATTAGACCCTTATACATACTATCTTTAGGCTCCTCTCCCCTAGATTAGGTTATAGAAATGCTATCATTGCTGTATTAAAAAAAGGGGCTCTTGTCAAAGAAGCTAAACACTAGTGGTATTTATTTAGACCACAAGGACATGTCTGAAACTTGATACTATTAAAGAAACCAAAAAAAAAATGTGTGGAGGAGAATTTACCCAATTTAGTTGTCTAACGTATCGTTTCAAGCTAAGCAAAAGCGCAAATTAAATAGCTTTCATATAGGCATCTGGATATCGAGATGGTTGTAAGTAGTTGTACGTTGTATTCAAAGAGACGTTTGTGGTTTTCATTTACTATATAAATTATAACCCGTTTCCCCTTCTTAAAAGCTAGGCACGTTCTCTTGTTTACTGGTTGCAACGTCTGAAAATGTCCTAAAGGGTTGGGCAGTAGCTAGAGCTTAATTAGAGCACTAAAATGGCGGTTAGATATTTGAAAACAAATACAGCAAAACTCAAAAGTAGAAAAGTGTTTTTTAAGAAAAATAAGAAGGAAAGAAGTTGGCCCAAATTGGTTCCACCTAATTACAAATTGCATGAAATGAGACCTATAAAACAAAGCTCGGTATTAATTTTTCTTTTTTTCTTATCCTAATTCCTATGTATCCTTGCAATACCACAATGGGAGGTTGTACAGTCGATTAATTGAATAATGTGACATTTCCTGATCGGGGGGATAATCAATCCCTTTCAAAGGAAGGACAGCCATTGGAAGTTGGGATTACTGAAACGCTAAAATATCAGTACATAGCAAAATGGAATAAGAAATCTCTGCAAAAATTATAACTCTGCTCTTTAAAGAAAATAAACCTCATTGGTCTATATTAAAATTCACATTCAGAGACAATTCGTGCGCTTTGTACATAGAGAAGCTGAATATCAAATTTCACCCACGTTTAGGAAGACAAAATTAAAGATGAAAATCTAGGCCAGTAGCCCTACCTGGAATCCATCTCCATGGAAACCGCTAGAGATTTGTATATCTCATAAATAAGCCTATTTTCGAACTCGCTATTTTTATAAGTTACAGGAACCGGGCGAGCCTCTGGGATCCTCTTTCCGGCAAAATCATTTCCACTGTTCATTGCCCCGACGTTGCCAGCCAACCTAAGCATCATGTTCATATAGGCGTTCTTGAACTTGGTCCAGAGCTTCAGCGGGGAAGCAAATTTGAGGCGCAACTTTGGAATTGCTCTGATCTTCCATGCCCTCTTCTCTCTGTGCCCTCCAAACTTCACAATCTTTACACTCCTTCTCGAGCCGTTTATTCGGTGATAGGTCTTTCCTCTTCTCCATTGCCTCTTCAGGCTTCCGTTAAATGGATTAGCAAGCAACTTCATCTTTTTCAGTTGTATGTGGATTGGAAACACTAGGGAAGGGAAGGGAAGGTTTGATTGGTAACTGGGGGGAGGGCTTTTTTATATCATAGGGATGGGAATGAAAGAAAGGCTGATGGTATTTATATGAAAACAAAAGGAATCTTTTGAGTTGGCGAGGCCTGTTTCTTGGTAGCAAGCGGCGCGGGGATGGTTTTCTTTTATTATGCGACGATACATCCTCCTGAGTCCTCCTGCCCTCGGCAACCCGCTGAAAGTAGTTGGTAAGCGTAAGCGGCCGGTCAACAAAGTCGGTTTTAACATTTATTGGTTTTCTGAAGTTTTTTAAGCGCTTAAGATGATGGAGTTGCGTGTTTGTCTTTTAAGTGCGGAGCATGGAATTCTTCATTAGACGCCCATTAAAAGTAAACCTTTGACGGAGATTATCAGGATCTTCTCTGCTTCAAACGGACGTAAAGACTGGAGACTGGGAAAAAAGAATTCGTTTCGATATGAGAATTTGACTTCCATAATCGCTTAGCTCATGATTCCTTTCATCATTAAAATTAAGTTTAAAAATAATGATGATATGATGCACTAAGAAATAGGCCATTCCTTTCTACTTTTCTTTTTACCCTCTTGTGATATCATGTCCTGTGCTGCAGAAAGAGATTATTATACCACTCCTACTACGTTACGAGTCT